ACGTCACAGACATCTGTAACAATCTAGTCATGTGATTTCGTGCTGTAGTGTTTAATGCTAATAATGCAAACCTGAGACTCAATGCACAGTGTGTATTTATGCTTTTACGCAGAACCTGAGGAATGAGGAGCAGGTGGCCATTATTCAAGCCAGTACCGTGCTGTCGCTCGCTGAGAAGGTACGTGGCTGCCTCAAGTTATATACTGTACAAGATATTACAGTGCCCTCCACTAATATTGGCACCCTTGGTAGCCAATATTAAGCTGTAGCTGTCATAATATATCATCTTAGTTAGACAAATTATTGGGAGATAAAGTGTGAAAACTGATATTAATATGCATTTTATGTAAATACTATGTTATACTTTTATTTTTAACAAATGTCATTGATTTGCATCGTTTTTTAAGGTCTCAGCCTGGTCTCATTATCGATTGCATTTGTACTCGGGCATGTCTCTGTCTGAATTTTATTTCAAGACCAGTCAAGACCACAACTGTGGGGATATCACTAAATTGCCAATGCATTGCAAATGAATAATGACTATTTACTAAGGCCTTTTACAGAAGAATTGAATTTATTTTGCATCGTTGAATCACAGTTTTCTTGTCGAACACTCTAAAGCTGATTTGAAACAATCTGTATTCAAATGCAACCAGTAACTTATTTATTTTGATACTGTTGTGCCGGTCAGAAATTAAGTGGGGATTGTATAAAAAATGTAACCAAAATTAATACAATTGCCCCAAAAAATTCAAGATATTGGTACAAAAAAATACTTTGCATGAGATCTTGTTTTTATGTTATAACATTTGATATAATTAAGCAATATCATCAGAGCAAGAGTTATGTTTTCACGAAAATAAGCTTGAATGCAAACATGATATTGATTTATCTCACGCTCAATAAACAAGAAATTAATATTAAGTGACTTACATTTTAGACAGTTTAAACAGTTTAAGCACAAGTTTTTGCTGTTTCACCAATGGCAATAGTTCTAAACAAATCCATAGCAGATCGTTTCCAAGCAAACGCTTCAAACGAATATGTTGAAAAAATTATACTCATTAAGTGATTTGCGGTTTTAGTTTCATTTTGAGTGTATTATTTATTTCTATATTCAAAAGTTTACATTTAAAACATTAATCTCATGGCATTATCTCTGTAGTTGTATACATAGTATAATTTATTAAGGTAGTTTTTGGTCAGAATGGATCTTTCAGATGAATTTGGAGAGTGGTTTCTGGTTTTCGTCTCGCCCTGCCTTGGTCTTGTCTTAGACTTAACAGATTCTGGTCTTGGTCTCGAGAGATTCTGGTCTTGGTCTTTTCTTGGTCTCGACAGATTCGGGTCTTGGTCTTGACTTGGTCTCGACAGATTCTGGTCTTGGTCTTGGGAGAGTGGTTTCTGGTTTTTGTCTCGCCCTGCCTTAGTCTTGTCTTAGACTTAACAGATTCTGGTCTTGGTCTCGACAGATTCTGGTCTTGGTCTCGAGAGATTCTGGTCTTGGTCTTTTCTTGGTCTCGACAGATTCGGGTCTTGGTCTTGACTTGGTCTCGACAGATTCTGGTCTTGGTCTCGACAGATTCTGGTCTTGGTCTTGACAGATTCTGGTCTTGGTCTTGTCTTAGTCTCGACAGATCTTGGTCTTGACTAGGTCTTGGTCTCGACAGATTCTTGTCTTGGTCTTGACAGATCTTGGTCTTGGTCTTGACTAGGTCTTGGTCTTGACAGATTCTGGTCTTGGTCTTGACTTGGTCTCGACAGATTCTGGTCTTGGTCTTGTCTTGGTCTCGACAGATTCTGGTCTTGGTCTTG